AGACTAGGTTACATCCTTAATGGTGGTCATGCTGTATGTTGTATTTTCTGCTAACCATGTTGATATAACAAGAGTGTTGATAGTACAGTTTGGGCACATTTTTCATGTGCTAAAGTCATGTTTTATCCCCAGCAACATTGATATATATTTTTCCTTCCTTCCTTCCTTCCTTCCTTCCTTCCTTCCTTCCTTCCTTCCTTCCTTCCTTCCTTCCTTCCTTCCTCTTTCTTTCTTTCTTTCTTTCTTTCTTTCTTTTTGTTGATTCTTGGCAACCATTTGCAGTGCAGTTTTCTTAGCAAGATTTCAGAAATGGTTCACAACTGCCTTCTTTCTAGGACTGAGAGGGAGTGATTGATCCAAGATCATCTAGCTGGCTTTGTGCCTAAGGTACAATTAGAACTCACGGTCTCCCTGGTTTCTACCCTGGTGTCTTAATCACTGCATACATCAGGCTGGCTCTCCTATGCTACCCAGAACATATAATATAGAAGCTACTTTGCATGCCACAATACTGTTCCCTACATCCCACCCACTAGGACAAATATGCATGATACAGGTAGATTTAGGGTAAGATCTGTGTGTGCTGTTCAATACATTAGGCAACAGTTGCTCTTCAAAAATTTCAATCAGACCTGATTGAATTGCATCTGTTGTTTCAGTAACAGTGAACATTTTTTACGGACGTGGTTGTTAGATTGTCCATCCTTCCTTCTTTTTATCTGGGTTTAGAATCAGCAATATCAGGCCTAAGGCGTAATTACGTTTCAGTTTTGACACTGGTGAAATATGCCATCATATGCAAGTTAATACATTCTTAAATGATATACTCTTAATACATCTATCGTTAAGTGATAGATAAATATAAGGAAAGATGTACAGCAATATTAAATCATGTTTTAGTTCCACCTTTTTTTTACCTGCACTGTTTGTAAAGAAGCAGTTACAGGTGCTCCTCATAAATACAGATAAATTGGCACTGAAACATGTAAGAAATACTATTCCAAGAGAATCCCTGAGCCTAAAGAGAGATGTGGAGGCCTATCATTTATGGAAGAGGTATTCCTTTATTCTTTTATTTATGAACTTTATACACTGCTGACTATGCAATAGATCAGCAACTGCTTGTGTGCAAGCTAAAACGGAAGGAGAAAACTAATCAATTTTTCCACAATATGATCTGAGCGTACACCCACCATTTTCAAAGAGAATAGCAGGCTTTGCTTTGATATGGAACCAGGGGAACAGGAGAATGAAAACAAAGTTCTTAAAGATGAATGCGGAGACTGGCAAAGCCCAAGAAACAGAAGAAAACAAAACTGATGTCAAAACAAATGGTGATAATTGCCAAGAAGGGAAGCCAAAGCAAAGACGAAAAAAACTCCGGAAGGAAATTAACAAAGGGTTGCCAGAAGAGACAAGAAGCTATATTAGGACAATGAAAATGGAAATAGACATGGAAAAATAAGGTTTTCCAAAAGATCTTACGATTCAGGAGGAGGGTATAGGCTAAATTGGCAAGCTAAAGGATGCAAATAGATTAGAAAGTAACTGATTCCAAGAAAATCAAATGAAGATGGAAGGAATATACTGAATTTATATACAGTACAGATCAGATCCAATATATATTAGATAATGTTCCTTATTTAGAAGAACATCTAGGATGAAAAGAAAAAGTTAGAGCAATACTCCAGTTAGAAGGCTTTAGGCACTGATGGAAAACAAGCAGAAATACAGCAAACAGCACAAGAGGAATCAGTAAACACTGTAACCAAGCCATGCCAGCAAATCTGGAGAACCACATAGTGTCCAACAAACTGAAAGAAGTCAGTCTACACATACATGCCAATAACAAAGAAAGGAGATTCTGTTAAGAGCCTGCAAATCACACACATCCTTATTTTCACATTCTTAAGGTCATAATACATAGGATCATCCAAGGTAAAATAAAGTCCTTCATAGGAAAAGTATCAGATGGTCAAGCTGGCTTTAGAAAAGTTTAAGAAATGCAAGACATCATTTCTGATGCATGTTGGATAACTAACTGAGAGAGAATACCAAAAGATGTTGGCATGAGCTTCATTGGTTTATAAAGCATGAGCTTTATATTGGTTTATAAAGGTAAAGGTCCAGTGGTGTCTGACTTTAAGGGGTGGTGTTTATCTCTGTGTTTTAGCCAAGGGAGCCAGCATTGCCCGAAGACACTTCTGTGGTTATGTGGTCAGCATGGCTATACACCAAAGGCGCACGGAATGCCGTTATCTTCCCACCGATGTGGTACCTATTTATCTACTCGTATTTTTGTGCTTTCAAACTGCTAAGTGGGCAGAAGCTGGGGCAAGTAACGGGAGCTCACCCTGTCACACAGCGCTCAGGTCTCGAATCCGGGCTGTCATCTTTATAGCTGACAAATCACCATCTTTAACCTCTGAGCCATTGCATCCCCCTCACTGATTATAGAAAGGCCTTCAATTGTGTCAGTCACATAAGCTTTGGAAAGAGAAATGGGACTCATGAAACATCTCATTATCCTGAGAAACGTATGCATAGCTCAGGAAGCCACAGTATGGACAGAATAGGGTGAAATGGACTCGCTCCAAGTCAGCAAAAAGTGAGTCCTGGCTACACACTCTCCCCTTATTTATTCAACCTATACGCTCAATGTATATTGAAGGAGATTAGATGGGAAGAAGTTGAGCACGCTTTTAAACTTGCAAGAGGAAACATCAATAACCAATGATACGTTAATGACATTATTTTGATCCTGAAAATTTAAATGACCTGCAATCTCTAGTAATTAGAGCCTAGGAGCACAATGAAAGGAAAAAAAATGGACTAAATGTAAAGAAGACCAAATTAATGACAACAGGTATAGCAATTCTACAGCCTTAGAATCGGACACTGGAAGTGCTGAAATGGTAGGTAGCTTCTGCCCTTTTAAAACTTAACTATCGTATATTGTATAGTATACAATACAAGTATGATATAAAAAAATATTACTTAGCTTTTGAATAATTTATATTTAAAGTTTAAGATATTTTTAGATATTTTTTTTCTTTTTCTAATTTCTTTTTTTTCTTTTCTTTTTTCTTCTTCTTCTTGTTTCTTTTCTTTTTCTCTTTCTGTTTTTTAAGTATTGGTGTTAAAGTATTTTATGATTTGTTTAATTATTGTAACCAAATTTGTTTATGGTTCATTTGTGTTTAAAATTATTTCTTTTAAATTTTAATTAAGCCTGTATTCAGCTCTGGGAAGGTTGAGGGAGGGTTGGGGTGGGTTGGGAGGGTTGGGGGAAGGGAACTTTTTTTTTGTAAAATTTTAAAAATTTTCAATAAAAAAAAAACTTAACTATCAAGTTTGCTTCGTGTACTTAAAAACGCTTTCATATCCCCTCGCAAATTTCTTTAGTCAAAATATAACCACATCTCTTAATATACAGTTAGTCTACAGCAGCGGTTCTCAACCTATGGGTCGCGACCCCATTTGGGGTCGATCGACCATTTCACGGGGGTCGCCAAGCAAGGCTGTCTGCCATTTTTTTCCCCTTTTCTGGCGGGTGCCTTACCTCCCTTGGGCTGGGCCAGCTGGTGGCCCAGCCGGTGGTCGGCCTGCTCCGTCTCTGCCACTTGCCAGCTACGCCTCGGCCGGCGCAGGGAGTGGAACCATGCATGCGCGGCGCTCCTGGGCAGGGAAAGTCCTCGACTTACGACCAGTTGGGTAGTCCTCGACTTACGACCGGTTTAGTCATCGACTTATGACCGGTTTACTCATCGACTTACGACCGGTTGGGGGTCGCGGCATTAAAAAGGTTGAGAACCACTGGTCTACAGCTTATGAGCCCCAAATTTCTGCTACTGAACAAGGCAGTTGTTAAGTTGAGTTTTGCCCATTTTACAACCTTTTTTGCCACAGTTGTTAAGTGAATCACTGCAGTTGTTAATGCAGTCCTTAAGCAAATCTGGCTTCCCCCCGCTGACTTGGCTTGTAGGAAGCTGGCTGGGAAGGTTACAGGTGGTGATCACATGACCCTGGGACAGAGCAGGTGTCATAAAAACCTGCCAGCTGCCAAAGGCTTGAATTTGATCATGTGACCACGGGGTGCTGCAATGGTTGTAAGGGTGATAACTGGTCATAAGTCACTTTTTTCAATGCCAACGTAACTGCAAATGGCCACTAAATGAATGGTTGTAAGTTGAGGTCTTGATTTCCAGGCCTTCTTGATCCTGCTAGTCCTCTCCCTAAAGCTGTTTCAATTCATTCAAATCCTTCTTAAATCATGGTGTAGTAAAAAATATACTATACAGTCCTGGTCTTAGGAAGAGGGGAGACAGCAATGAAGCATTAAAGGAAGAGAAATTCATTCCTGGAAAAAAATGGAAAGTGTGAAAAACAATCTCCATGAACCTGCCTTGATTATGTTTGGTATAATGTGGAACAAGAGAAACTTAGCCATGTTTCTAAGATTCTGTTATTCTATCCCTCAGCGCTCCCTAAGTTTGATTGTTTTCTTGCAGATATTTCATTACCCAATTATATAACATGTTAATGCTAGATGTTACTTGGCTGGGTAATGAAACATCTGTAGGAAGTTTAACTCCAAGCTGTAAATATTCTTTTCTATTAATAAACAACATTCCTGGAATCCCCATTACTTCTGTTTCTTGACCTGACCTACACCTTGAAAGGTAACAGATGCCCAGAACAGAACATGGTACTCAAAGTGGGATCTAATCCATTCCAAATAGAGAGGAATCATCACTACCAATGCTTCTATGACCACATTTCTCTATATCTACAAAACCAAGGAATCTCTCCACAGTTCAGATTCATTGCAAAGGCGGAGATTGGAGCAGGTATTCAGAGCAGAATGTTCTCAATAGGTATTCGTGAACTGCATACCTTTATAAAGCCATTCATCCAGTGACATTTTCATACAAGTATAAATTGCTAAAATAACCATTTTTGAAGCAGCCTTCTGAAGTCTTGACTTGAGCAGCACTTACCTCTCTCATGTGCCTCTTGATATGCAAGTATACACATTGTCCAGTCTTACGATAATGCCTTTCTACATGTTCCCTTCCAAATCCCAGGAAAGTATTCATGCAGACATAAAGGCCTCCTTCGGAATCCTGTAGAGAATAATAGAAAAGTATTAGGGCACATTTAGGGCACCTGACAGAATTCTTCAGCACAGTAAGGGACATAAAAATCTCCTTTAAAGAATCACAGGCTTGGAAGATTTCTCAGATGTCTTCTAATTCAACTTCCTCCTAAGTGCAGAATTTGATAAATCGTTTTGGATAAATGGCTATCCAGACTCTGCTTTAAAAACTTATTAAAATAATCTAATTTATTGATTGACAGCTTTACCGTTAGGAAGTTCCTCCTAATATGTCACTTGGCTCTACTTTCCTATAGTTTTAACACTGGTTCTAGTTCTGTCTTCAGGGTCATGTGAAGTGACCAAAACCTTCTACAACCACCCAGCAGACGGGGGGGGGAATAAAAACCAAACACCCCCACCCCACCTCCGCTGCCAATCCTCAACAGAAATGCTCACAACAATGAAAACCTCAGACAGGAGGAAGAGCGCCACCAGGCGGGCAGGCAGGTGTCTTGCTCGGCTGTGGCTTGGGGGCACTTTTTTCAGTGCCACTGTAACTTCGAACAGTCACTAAGCGAACTATTGTAAGTCGAGGACTATCTGTACTTCATCACTTTTTTCCTTTTTTTTTTTTGGTTATCAAGTTTTTGACACCTTGCTAGGCGACTGGTGGTACTTGGATGTTGCCATATCCTAAAAGTGGTACAATGGGTGAAAAGGTTGAAAAGCTCTGATCTAGTTGAATGTTATATGTGATATATTTTATATGTTTATTGACAGGATAACACTGTATTGTTCTCCTTCTGACCTGTTTGGAGCCTATGGGATACAATAAATTTAAAATAATAATAATAGCTCTGAAATAGCATAAAAGCGCTTGTGATAATTAAATAAATGCAAGTGACATATAACTATTTTTTTTGTCTTTTTCCCTTCCAAAGCAATCGGCTCTTAATAGCCACTAGCACTTCCCAGCAGATAATGTGGCTAAGAAAAACTGATAGAAGGTTTAAAAAACATAAAACACTACAAATATTTTGGATTTAGACTGTCCTCGAATAATCCAGATTTTAAACAGCCAAGGCATGTTACTCAACCAGTCTTATTTTTTTTTCCATGTAGATTTTGTTCTTTGTTTTGACTTTGAAATTATTGCTTGAATTGAGCATTTAGAAAACATGAGACAACCATAGGCTTCAGAACAATTTATAAAGGAAAACAGCAAAGTCTGAACAGTACTTCCAAGGCACTCAAAAGCTAAAAATATGGCAAGAGAATCTCAAAGCTTGGTGAGGAGGTGCATTTGTCATAAATACATAAAAAAAAACCCAAGCTATACACAATGATGCCTCTATAAAGGTTCCCATACTGAGGAACAGCACACTAGAAAGCCTACATCCAAGTAGTTGCAGGTAGTCCCTGACTTACAACCACAATAGAGCCCAAAATTTTTGTGGCCCCCACGTAGAGTGTTTTAATGTAATCTAACATGCAAGGTTATTAAAGCTTTTAGAGCACTGCAGCCATTTTCTCACGTCCAAGAATGGCTACAGCTGTCAATTTTACAGCTGTCGAAAATACAGCTATTCCAAGCCAAAAATAGGTGCTCTTCGCCATTGCAGTCACCTGGGCCTCTTCCCCATGCTGTACATTTTGCTTTTTTAGGACAACTACAGCTTAATCTAGAAGAAGACCCATTTCTCTGCTTGTTGATAGCATTCCGCATTTGATGGGATTCGGTGTCAGATTCCTACTGCTAACACAGTAGGAACAAACTTAAAGAAGGGTGCAATGAGAGACACTACTGAGATTGGATAACAACTGAGCTCTTCCTAGAACTAAGGGTTCCCAAAGTCAAAACATATAGTGCTGGCTAAAATATACTGTAGCTAACTGGTTTGTGGGTTGTCCTGTTCTGCAAACCAAGGCAGTGTGATTAGTTTATTGTTCAGCGCAGTGCACAAACCCAGACAGTTAGAGTGGTTCAGTAAACATTTACTGTATTCAACTAACCATGCATTAGTAGGTTGTGTAATTTGAGCTTCTAGTTGACATTTGTTTACAGAAAGGATAGGTACAGTTCAACTGCAACAAGTTAAAGCAACTCCCAACAAGCCTCCACTTTTGACTCAGGTTAATTAAGTGGTTAAAATACAATGCATCACTGCGTACAGAGACTCATTGCAAAACATGGTACATCATAATGCCGATTCTGCTTATAGAGCAATGTAGTCCTCAATCATCACAAATTTTAAGTATCTTCGAATGAACCAGAAGAAACTGTCTTAGCAAAGTTTTAGCCACGTAAGCTTTCAGTACAGGGGGATGTCCTTCAGCCAATCGACCTTAAGTACTTAAATCTATAACATTGTTTTGGAATATTTTTGGCCTTCCTAATCAGCGCAACTCCCTATTCAGAGAGACCTGCTGGGTGACACTTGAGATTTGAAGTGTGTGGGTTATAAATATATCCTATCTTCCAGCGAGGTGACAAACACCAGGCAGCTGAGTAGCCTTTGAATGCGTACAGAACTTTTCATGGGCAAAATACAAAAAAGGCAACCTTAAAAAAGGGCAACCCAACATCTAAAAGCTGAGACTCCTTGAAATATATATATTCTTAACAGAGGAGTAAAACAAAGCATTGAAAGGAAGAAAAGTATTTACCAACATTTTCCCTCTTTCTGCTTCCATTTTTGTCAGCTTCCTCTGGATCAGGGGTCCCCAGCCCCCAGTCCATGGAACGGCATTGGGCCGCGGCATGCCAGCAACCGGTCCGCACAAATAAGCAAAGGCCCATCCATGGGATGCAAGCAGCACACAAAACCACGCCCCCTCGGGTCCGCGGAAAACCTCTCTCCACGGAACCGGTCCCTGGTGCCCAAATGGTTGGGGGCCACTGCTCTGGACTTTAAAAAAAAAACATACTTTATAGGAAGTCCTCATCTTATGACCATAATTGGGACCCAAATTTCTGTTGCTAACCAAGACATTTGTTAAGTGAATTTTGCCCCATTTTACAACCTTTCTTGCTACAGTTGTTAAGTGAACCACTGAAGTTGTTCAGTTAGTAACATGGTTGTTAAGTAACTCTGTCTTCCCCATTGACTTTGATTGTCAGAAGGTCACAAAATAGGATCACATAACCCTGGGACACTGGAACTGTCATAAATATGAACCAGTGGCCAAGCATCTGACCATGGGCAAGCTACAACGGTCATAAGGATGAAAAATGGTCATAACTCACTTTTTTCAGTGCTGTTTCACTTTGAGCAGTCTCTAAACGAACTGTTGTAATTTGAGGACTACCTGTATTTATTTACTGACTTACTCAACTGAAGGGCTGCCTTTCTGCCAATGCTTCAAAATGAGTTTATAATTTAAAATAATGGCTTACAATTATTTACAATAGTTTTCTTTAAAAAAATAAGAGGGAATGGAGAAAAGAATGTCAGAAGGTAGAAGAAAATTTAAAACTTCAAATGTGAATTTTCTTTCTTTAAATATAAAGGAAGCCGCGAATGCTAACCTAACCAGAACAAGAAAAAGTTATGCCTTAATAAATGCACTGATTTTACTTGCCACAAGATATTATGCTGTCTTGGCTCCTAAAGGCTGTCTTCTTGGTTCCTATGAAGGGAATCCAAAAACTTTAGGGAAGATTTTTAACATGATGGAGCAGTCACGGGTTCATAAAATGCAAACTCTCCAAAATGTACCTATATATTCCTGTTCCCATCTAGAATATCAACATCATGATCAGCATGATGTAGAGATCAGCAGCCCAATTGTAGAGATCAGCAGCCAAATCCAACAGTGTGCCAATGGATTTCTGCTTATGCAACAGTATTTCCTTTTTTCTCCTCTCCTTTTGCGGTAAACTTAAGTGCTATTCATTACCCAGATTTATGATGCAGATTATGAAGTAAGCAAGGAAATCACTTCCAGCCTTGATGACAATCTTGCACTGGCCCAGTGTTTGGAGGCTGTTTAGTTCTGAATTGGGCAGGGCAGACTTCACAGAATAACAGTTGGAAGGGGCCTTGGAGGTCTTCTAGTCCAACCCCTTGCTCAAGCAGGAGATCATATACCATCCTGGACAAATGGCTGTCCAATCCCTTCTTAAAAACCCGATGGTGATGGTGCATCCACAACTTCTGGAGGCAAACCTTCTATTGAATTGTTCTCACTGTCGGACAAATTTCTCCTTAGTTCTTAAGGTTGGATCCCTTCTTGATTAGTTTCCATCCGTTGCTTCTTGTCCTGCCTTCAAGGGCTTTGGAGAATAGCTTGACTCCCTCTTCTTTGTGGCAGCCCCTGAGATATTGGAACACTGCTATCATGTCACCCGTCGTCCTTCTTTTCTTTTCTTTTAAATTAGACTGGCCATTCTTTGAAACCCTCAAGGTTGGGAATGCCACCATCACTGATCTTAGAAGTAGGCTGCATTTTCCCATTTGAGATTGGTGAGCAACTTGGACTTTAGTTTATATTGCTCAAGAGCAGGTGCGGCTGTGGCCAGAAGGGCCTTTGCCCAGGTTTGTTTTATGCACCAGTTGCGCCCTTTCCTTGATAGGGAGGCCCTTCAGACAGCCACCTATGCCCTTATTGTGGTCGTCTCACGATTGGATTATTGGACCCATATAGGACTGCACCTTGAAGACTATTGGGAAGTTACAGGTGACTCAGAATGCAGCAGCACAAGCAGAAGCTTGCCCAGATAAGCTGGGATTAACACCAGACAAACAATCAAGTAGAAAACAACACTCTAATCATGAAACTGCCAAACAGAAAACCACACCCCCACCAACACTGACAGGGCAAGCTACTGTATATTAACAAGGAGCAAACCCCATTAGCACTGATGCTGTTACCTAGTTGGGTAATGAAATGTCTGCTAGCAAACAAACAGCTCAAAGCACCAAGGACCTAGAGTTCAACCATGAGCTACATACTGTATATTACCTTCTTTTGAAAAATGTAGTTAGTTCTATAGTCAGTTCTGTGTCTCTCCTTCAATTCTAC